AAAAATCCTTTATGAACGACTAAATTTAAATTAAGGAGGCTAGGGGGTAACAAATTATTTTTTTATTAACCACCAGATAAACTTAAATTTTAATTGATATCTTAAGCTGTCAACTATCTTTCAAAGAAAAATTTCATAAATTTTATTTTAAAATTTGATCATTTTTTATTCTTATATGGAGCTCTTCTTCTAAAGGAATAAAAAATCTAAAAATGGCCACGACCACCCAGCCTCTTTAAAGTACGACCTGTAAATGAATTGAAATTTAATAAAAATAATTCATAGAGGACCGGTTCGGTAACGTACGTAATATACCAATCAAGTAGTTAATGTAAACTGGTATAGCGAACATTCAAAAAAGACGAGAAGGCACTACATACATTAACTATTAAATGATATTGCAATAATACAGCCATTTCTATGCTTTTTAGTTTTTTTTCACAATTGCTTGAAAAAATAGAGAAATGTGGGAAAAAATAAAGTCGTTGAATTGGTTTGTAAACATGCAAACGAAAGCCTTCAATTAAGTGATCTGATCAAATTGACCAAATGCTTCTTAAAATTAGGTTTAAATTGAGTTTGATGTATGATACTGGTATTTTACAACACTTTGTTGCCAATAAATATTCGGAATAAGGAAAGGTTATGCCAGCTGTGTTTAGTAATGCACAATTTCGGTTGTTTTAAAAAAAATAAAGTATTATATATGTAGTAAAAACAACAAAATATTTAAACATAATTGGTTACGCTTTTACCTCTGAAATTTCACCAAAAATTACTGAAATTACACCCTCGCAATAAAAAGGGTAGGCAGGACTGCTCCCCCGGTTACACGTAAAAACCGGAACATCCAACCCGGAATGGGAAAATAATGGAAACGCATGAGGTTAAATTTTTTTCCTTTGACCGAAACAGTCATATGAACACCATGGGACTCAGTGCCCTTATCGCTGAATTTTTGTTTAGGAATCGCCATCCCCCGAAGACGGGAGCCGCATTCAATGCCAGCAGTGCCAAGGTTAAAAACAGAACCTGCTCAAAATCTTTACGACCCATGTAAGAAGACCACCACCAGTGTATGCATTTTAATGGGACGATGCGAGGGGTAGTCCTATGCCTAAGAAATTATTCCCTCGTCACAAGTAAAAAGGACGAACATGAAATTTAAAAGATCTGATTCCCGATCACCAGTGCTACGTTCAACAGAAGCCTGAGAAGAAAAAGGGGGAAAGAGACCTTCAGTTTTACATTTTTCGATTTGGAATCCTCAGGAAACCGGCGTGGCACACCGCGTCTGTCAACATTTTCCTTCCCATAGACCAGCCCTGTCCCATTGTCAACCTGGGCCCCGTGCCGTTTTAAAGGTCCAAAACCTTTAAAAAATTCATGGACTGGTTATTACAACCTACAACACGAACTAAAAACCCCCTTTTAGTACACGACGAGGCCATATCATCGCCCATAACTTCAAAGGATACGACGGAAATTCAATTTGAATCACCTGGTGTATTCCGCCTCCTGAAACCTAACGTCATCATGAACGGCGTAAGATCTTGTACATGGAAATTTGCGGGCTTAAATTCATCGACTGTATAATTTCTTACCTTTTGCTTGGGCCTTTCCCTGGCTTTGGTTTTTAAATCAAGAAAGGATATTTCCCGCACTTTTTCAATACACAAACCAGAATTACTGGGTCCTTATCCACCCGCAGCTTACTACAATCCGGACGAGATGTCTATCAGTGGACACGGGCCTTTTTCGAATGGTACGAACAACAGACCGGAAAAGTGTTCGATTTCCAGGGAGTTTGTGGGTTTGCTCTGGACTGACTTTTTACGACGATGCTGTGCTCAGTTTAGAGCCCCCCTCAAGTTTGGTGGGTGCCCCTTTTAGGAATCCATCACTTTTCCATGCCGCCAATTTAGCCTACCGTCGATTATTCATGCCTAAAGAGACCGTCATCATTCGTAACCTGGGGTATCAGCCGGCGCGACAATATTGGGCCCAAAAGCCTGTGGTGGCTACCTGGATGAGACAGCAGAGCGGATGTCACATACGCCATGCCAACGGGGCAAGTCGATGGAGATTATACCGTCGACGGATACCAGGAAGCGATTCGCACCGTCTACAAATTTTATGGCTGCTTTGGCACGGATCCCCCACCTGCTATCCCAGTCTACAACAAAAACCCATCCTCACCGGACCCAGTTTTTTCCAGGAATCACAAAAAAACGCTCAAAAGGGATCTTTGGAGGACATGGGGAAATGTCCGTATTTGGGAGCACGATTTCATAAAAAGTAAAAGGTGTTAGTTTACAGCATTTTTCAGACCTGGACATTTCCGACCCTTTTAAACCCCCCGAGAAGCCCTTAGGAGGCTACCAATGCCACCCGATTATATTGTGAGGAAAAGGACTGGATCGTGGACTCTTTTCCCTACCCGTACGTGTAAAACAAAACCCTTTTTTCTCTTGGGATCCAGATCATCACAGACGAGTTCGAGGACGTGAGAAGTAATTTGGTCTCATTCACTTTCTTACCCCCCGACCTTTTCCCCCCGTTTTTCCGTATAAGTAGAAATTTTAGCGAGGATTTAATTTTGGTTTTTGGGGGGTGCAGACATGCTAAAATTGAATATCGCTAAAAATAAATTGTCTTTTATTTGTGTTAGCTTCTTTAGTTAGCATTTTGAAATCGCTAAAATTGCTTCTCGCTAAAAATAATACACCGATTTTGAGGGACAAATTTGCGTCTCGCTAAAATTTCCACTTATCGGTATCTTATGGTCGGGAGGCAAGCTATTTTCCTTATGTGAACTTCCAACAACAGGACTCTACTTCTCAACATCGATGTCAAAACCCCCCCAGGAACGCAGTCTCACGGGCACCTGGGGGACCACCGAAATTTCATAAAGCCCTGGGCATGGGGTATCCATAAGCAATATACGAAGTGTGGCATTTTCCAGAGAGCAGTCAGGATTTATTCAGACCATACATCATACCTTTCCCCAAGATCAAACGGGAAGCGTCCGGATTTTCCCCCCCCAGTGTCAGACCTCAGAACAACAACAAGATTACATTCGACAAGTCTTATACAAAAAAGGCATCATGATGGACCTCTAGTATGAGAAGAATCCAGTAAAAGAACCATCGCTAAACTCTTTTTAAATTGTTATTTGGGGGAAAATTTCTAACGCTTGTTTTTACCCAAAACTCGATACTTAGACAAAGAAGAGGAATTACAACAACTTTACAAAACTCGACCCTCGACATTAAGGGCATGCAACTCTTAAACAAAAAAGAGAACCCCGGGGTGATGCTGGGGGAAAATTTCCAGAAACAGGAATTTGTATACCTTTGGAAACGTGGTACTGGCTTGTTTCCCACCCCCCATGCCCGCTTACACCTTTTCAACTTTAAACCTTTGGAGATGGGTCCTTTTTTCGATACAGACAGTTTATTTAAAAATCGGGAAGGAGCCTTTAATCCTACCTTGGGCAACGTTTTGGAAATACCAGAATTGACGGGGATCACATCACCAAAATTTATGTGGGGGGCCCTAAAAATTATGGTTCAGACCTCCAAAGGAACTAAGGTCCTTAAAGTAATTACTTCAAACCCTAGCCTCTCAGATCGTATCCCTAAAACTTTAAAAAAAACTAAGGGAGAAATGGAAATCACAGTACCTTATCCCTACAAAATCCAAGGGCCCCTGATCATGAAGTCCTGACCAAACCTTTAGAGAAAAAATTTAATTGTGTACGAGAAGAGACAATTATTGTTACCCTCATATAAAACTTTACCTTATGGTTATTGATGGTTAATGTTGACATTGAATAAAAATTAATTTATTGTTGTTTTTTGTTTTTTTTTCTTCTTCGTACTCTCTATAAAAGGTATTCTAATTCAAAATCAAAGGTCATTTTAAATCATCGTAGTCGCAGCCCGACAACCATGCGTCACCCCACTATGCTCAGCTCTCAAAGAAAACTCCCGGCGGGATGGCCAGAGCCTCTCTTAGGAAAAATACCAGACAATGCCAGAGTGGGGTTTTCTACAAGGGAGTGAAAGATAACGCTACCTATTTTATTGTGGAATAACTTTAACCAATGGGGATTTGAGGCGATCCTTGTGTAGAACATGCTTATTGGAACCCGAATTGTCCTTACATCAATCTGTATAAAGGACGATGCTTGGTGATGGGTATATTTTTAGGGTCTTTGAGAAGCAGGGGTATAAACCCGTATGAGATTAAACCTCTACTTACCCAAGCCAGACGTCCAGGGTGAGGAAAATGTCACATTTTTAACAGGAATTACAAATGTTTTTTTCCTTGTGGACACGTGTGTTGCTTGTTTTGGGGCTCCTTCCTTCCGTTTCCCCCTTTCAGCCAAGATTCATCAATCAAAACGCATATTTGTGTTAACTATAAAAAAGACCCCGAACCCCTCTCTTTCCCTTTATAGAAACTGTTTCCCAGGAGACACCCCCCCCCTTCTTTTCAACTGAAACACGAATTTACCATGGTGGGACGGGCCCCCAGATCGGGCAAAACAAATTCTCGAAAAAATGGACAATTTCCTGGGTACCCCCCTGCCAGAAAAAAATCGTCTGGTGTTATGAGAATGGCAACCTGCTTACACTTCTTTTTAAAAAATGAAGTATCTTTCATCCGAAAAATTCCAGAAAGACAACGAGAAATTAGTAGCCAATTTAGTCTGCCACACTTACTCATTTTTGAGGACATGATGGGAGGAAAAAATCAATCCATTGTGGATTGGTTTACCCGTAAAGCCATCATCGGAAAAGGTGTATCATCACTCAGAATTTATTTGATCGAGCAGCCTCTCATCGCACCATTAGTTTGAATGCTCATTATTTAGTCTTATTTAAAAATCATTTATTCAAATGGAATAGTCCTAAAAAAAACGACGGGTTCGTCGTTTGAAGAGTGTAGTGGTGAGAGTCGATAATAAGAAACAAAGAGTGTTTCCGGATTGGATGGTCCGTGTCGGAGGAGCAGCTCAAAAGAGCAGAAAAAAGAAGAAGAGAAAAGCTCCTCCCAAGAGAAAAGCAGCTCCTAAGAAAAAAGCCGCTCCCAAGAAAAAACGAGCTCCCAAGAAAACAGCGGCGAAAAGGAAATCCACCATCCCTCAAACTCTGGCTCAACGTAAAGCCTTGCCCGAAAGTCTAAACAAGAGGCCCACGGGCCTTATAGGTCACCTGAGCATTCTGCAACAACTTTCCAGTTATTGAATTTGATTCATGTTTTAAGCCAGATGCTATATGGCATTCACAATTTTGAAAGAGGCACCATTGATCATCATAACAATACACTTAGCAGTTGCTTAGCTTGGTTTATTGATTTAAATATGCCCAATAATAAGTTCATAGGATCTTCATGAACGTTTCATGAACATTTCATGAATAAAATTCATGAAAAATTCAAGGTAATTCATGAATTATTCATGATCACCTCGCAGGGGTACTGAATACCCATACGCAAGGTAGGGGGAAAAAAATGCATTCCAACTAATCAGTAATATTCAGCAATAATCAGTAATGCCCCTAACACTGTGAAATAAACCCCTGACCCTAGGTCCACACATTGCACAAATTTTAAAAAGGCACCGTTAAAATTGCCTATCAAAAAATAAATAAATGTTTTATAAATACAAAGGAGCAGATTTCAAACAATTAATTCATTTTCAGTATATAAGTAGACCCCCACATCCACCCCTGACCCTGGGGCCTTGAAATTCAAAATTTTGCAAGATTAGGGCCCTTGCTCATCATAACTATTTAGGTAGTTCATCTGCTTCATACCCAGAGACAGAGAAGAAAATTTTCAAAGATTTAATGTATATTCACTATATAATCAACAGAGCCCCCCCCCACACCATAACCCCTGACCCTGGGACCATAAAATTCACATTTTGGTAGAGGCACTCTTGCTCATCATAACTATGTACTTAGTTAGTTTATAAAATACCTAGGAGCAGAGAAGAAGATTTCAAAGAATTTATGTATTTTTACTATATAATCAATAGAGCCCCACCCTAACACCAGAACCCCTGACCCTGGGACCATAAAATTCACAATTTTGGTAAAAGCACTCTTGCTCATCTTAACTATGCACTTCGTTAGTTTATTTAATACCTAGGAGCAGAGAAGAAGATTTTCAAAGAATTCATGTATTTTTACAATATAATCTATAGAGCCCCCCCCCCCCCCCAACACAGAAGCCTTGACCCAGGGACCATAAAATAATTCACAATTTTGGTAGAGGCACTCTTGCTCATCATAACTATGCACTTAGTTAGTTTATTTAATACCTAGGAGCATAGAAGGAGATTTTCAAAGAACTTGTGTATTTTCACTATATAATCAATAGAGCCCCCCCCCCCTAACACCAGAACTCTTGTCCCTGGGGCCATAAAATTCACAATTTTGATAGAGGCACTCATGCTCATCATAACTATGCACTTAGTTAATTTATTTATATCTAGGAGCAGAGAAGAAGATTTTCAAAGAATTCATGTATTTTTACTATATAATCTATAGAGCCCCCCCCCCCTACCAGAACCCTTGACCCTGGGGCCATAAAATTCACAATTTTGATAGAGGCACTCATGCTCATCATAACTATGCACTTAGTTAATTTATTTAATATCTAGGAGCAGAGAAGAAGATTTTCAAAGAATTCATGTATTTTTACTATATAATCTATAAAGCCCCCCCCCCCTACCAAAACCCCTGACCCTGGGGCCATAAAATTCACAATTTTGATAAAGGCACTCTTGCTCATCATAACTATGCACTTAGTTAGTTTATTTAATACCCAGGGGCAGAGAAGAAGATTTTCAAAGAAATCATGTATTTTCAATGTATATAATCAAGAGAGCCCCACCCTAACACCAGAACCCTGACCCTGGGACCATAAAATTCACAATTTTGGTAGAAGCACTTGCTCATCATAACTAACTACTTAGTTGGTTTATTTAATACCCAGGAGCAGAGAAGAAGATTTTCAAAGAAATAATGCATTATCACCTACTTATTTAGCCCTGCCCTAGCACTAGAACCCCTGACCCCAGGGCCATGAATTTCACAATTTTGGTAGAGGACTCAATGCTGATTACAATCATGCCAAACAGTTTGACTGCTTGATGTCCAGGAGTAAAGAAGAAGATTTTCAAAGATTGCATTAATTTTAGTGGTTTTGGCCCCACCTCTCAGGCCCCAGGGGGGCAGGGATCATGAAATTCACAATTTTTGTTCCCTTTCACCCATAGATGCTTTGTGCCAAATTTGGTTGAAATTGGTTCAGTGGTTGCAGAGAAGAAGCTGAAAATGTTCAAAAGTTTACGAACGACGTACGACGTACGACGAACGACGACGGACGAAAACAGATAGCAATAGGTCACCTGAGTTTACTCAGGTGACCTAAAAGCGAAATCAATCAGCATTATAAGAAACAAAGACACAAGACTATAGGAGAGTTGCTCAAGAAACAAGCAGAACTGAGAACGGATCGTGCTATGGGACCCATAGGCAGTCAAAGAGCCAGCGAATTAGAAGTGTTTCCTCGAGTGAATGTGGGAAATCCACCCTCCCCCGGAATTAAAGTCCCCATCCATTCCCCTAAAATAACGCGCTTTCAGCCCTTGACGGCCTCGACGCCTAAACTTCCCAAAGGCATGAAATATAAATGCCGATATTGCGGAAGAATTCATGTCCTGGAGAAAAATAGAGATAAACACGAGATCGACAAACACGGAGGGTATGCCCCTCCTTAAGAGACTATAAGAGGGAGTGGCATGGGAGACCTCTCTTCATTGTTTTCAAAGATGGCTAAGAAGAAAAAGGGATGTTCTACGCGATTAAGAGCGCATGCCCCTCTTTTAAGAGTGTTATCGGACCCTCACTACTCCTCATCCTTAAAAAACCGGGATTTTAAAACATTGTTCTGGAGATTGTATTCAGAAAATATGCGAGATCGTCTACAACCTATTAAAAGGGGTGTTACCTCTCAATTCGGCTCAGGAACGAAAACTAGCTCCTAAGAAACACAAATTAAGGAGACTGGTCCGACCCCAATCCATCCAGAAAAGACGAGCTTTATTAGTACATCAAAAAGGAGGAAATATTTTACCCCTTTTAATCTCAGCAGCCCCTTTACTGTTTGATACCGGTCATTCTATCTATAAAGCCATTCAAAAGAAGAAGAACAAAAAGTAGAAACAATCAAAGTACTCAGAAGTACAGAGAGCCGGGCTCATTTACAGAGTAGAATGGATTTCTTACATGAATCACGTTTATATTCTGATGAAAAAATTATTTTAAAACTATCAATATAAATGATTAGACACTGACAGTGAGTTTTTCAATCCTAATACCACGGTCCGATTTTGTCAGAATCAGAATTAATCTGGTACCGCAGCTGAATGTAAACAAACAGGCCAGTCTGGTTCCCTCTTCTGCTTTACCTCGTATGTGTAGAGAACTACGGTAACACTGATTATCAAAAATCCTTAAGCTAATGAACTATGTTCTTTGACTTAGGAAGTTTTCAAAGTCATTACTACTAATGTTTATTTTATATAGTTAAAACTTCGTTTTATTTTTGTTGCTTTATTTAGCATTTGTATCATCTCAAAAGCGGTTGAAAGTAAGAACTATATTTTTGCACGTAACTTCAAAATGGCGACTATGGGGTCAACATCCTGCCTTGAACAGGATCACATAAGCCGGCAATTGCTCTTTGAGCAATAAGCCCAGCTAAAAATGAGTCGTAAAATGGTATTGGTACCTGAAGTTCCCAAACCTCCGGAATTTCAATCTACTCTGAGTATAGATCAAGAATTGGACCAGTTTACAAGACGTGAAGATTTAACCCCAGAAGAAAAATTGGCTTTATATGGTCAAGAGCTTCATCGGTATAGGAATTATTTACAACAAGTGAGAGAGCCAGCTACTACAAAAAAAAAACCTCAACCCCTGCACCCGTAGCCCCAGCCCCCGCAGCAGCAGCTCCAGAGCCCGAGATCGATCAACAAATCATTCAAAGCGTGAATAAACCCATGCAAAGGAAAGCTGAATTATTATTAAATCATTTAAAGAAGACCAAAGTGTTGACTTAGGATAAAGACGGAGAAATCATGTTAGCTTTACACGATCCTAATCAAGAATATTGGATGGTCTGTGTGAGTTCTTCCTGGGGTTACATCATGCCTAGTCCTACCATGATGCATCAAACCCCTACGGTCAAGAAGACGAATTTCACAAACTTAGTGTCTATATATAAAAAGGAGAAACCAAAACCCAAGGGGTAATTTCTGATCTGAGTGAGGGACAGAGCACACACCATGGAGTATCGTTGGAAAATAGAAGAATCTGAAGATACTACTTTAAAGGGAGAATGGATGAGAAACAAAGAGAAATGTATTCAAGATTTCTTTGATAAGAATCCAGGAAAAACAGATCTCAATGAAATCTACCTGTATAAAGAATCAAATTACCGGACCGCAAAGGAAGAAAAATCATGTTCTTATGGTCACCTAAATCACCCAAGTATCAAGAATTCAAATGGAAAGTCAAATATGTCTTGGCTCACCAAAGACAGGGACCCGAAAAGACTTGGATTCAAAGGGAAATGGATGGAAAATAGTCTTAGATTGATGCACGATTATCTGAAGGAAGTGATTCAAAAAGGATACTGGTCTATCCTGCACTCGGCCACCTGGATCGCCACTTAAGGAATGGCGCCCCTCGGAACTGGTGATACCCACACAGCAGAACTGGCTGGGGATGCTGGCTCCTCCTCGGATTAACTTGTGGCCCAGGTGTTGTTGACGGGGGGTGACCAGCTGCCCTCCATCTTCCAGCTGCTCCCTGGATCTGTGTGGGGGACCAGGTCGGGGTGGGCGGTCGTCGAGGGGAGAGACTCGGACTCCTGGGTGAGTAGCCAGGCGGGGGCGATGGATTTCTGTAGGCCTCCGGGCTGCTTAAAGGCGCCAAATATCCGCTTGCTCTCTCTCTTCTTCTTCGGTGTCTTGTCCCCGTCTGTAGGGTGTTGGCCGCCTTGTCTGCCTTCTCCTCAGTCCCTCCCCCGCTAAACAGATCTCTAGACAGGCCCGGTGTGGCGATCGGCCATCTGCCAGCTCCCGCCCGGTCGCGATGCCGCACGATATAAACTTTGAGAACTTCTACCCCGTTGATGAGATAATAGTTTGGAAGATCTTCTTCCTCAGCCATCGTGGCGCACAGTGGAAAACTGATACTAACGAATGACGCCGAGTGCTGGCGAGCGTCTATATTTATGCACAGGTGACGGACGTTGTAAAAGCACCTCGATGGCGAGAGCCGAAATATCATGGCGAACCCCAATTGTGTGATTTGTACTTTGGGACATATACCTTTTCATGGATTATTTAGTGTGTATTCAAAGTTGGATTCCATCATGATACAGGTCTAAACAAGGCAAGTTTCCTGCTTCTTTCATACTAGAATTCATACATGACATGATCCGTCGTGGAGAAAAAGTGAAAAACCTCGAAGCGACGAGGCGAAATCCATTGACCCGAGTATATAAAATAAGCATTTTAAGTCTTTCAAGGGTGAGTCCAAACTCATGAGGTTTGGGAAGAAGGGGCCTAGGGAAGAGTGCCCATATCGTTTTTATTTCAAAAGAATCATATCAGGGTAAAAATCAAGCTAAATTTGGGTTTGGGTTAGACACAATGGGGGTCAAGAGGTCACGGATTTTCAGAAAATCATACTATGAGATAAATAAGGTTTTGGATCTAGCCTTTTCTGACTGATATTTTAAGTAAAATAGAATGTTATTAGGTTAAAAAACAATTCGTATCTACTTTTTAGATCATGTACAAGTCCTGATCGTTTGTTTTTTATAAAAATGAAAACTGAAGTGACACCGGGTGTCAACAAGGTATTGCATACACATCTCCTGATTTTTAAGTAACCAGATCTTTTATGAAAGAAAATTTTACATGAAAAGAATCGTATTGGTTTGAAAATCATTGTATTTATTTTATGGATCATGATCCATTTCAGATTTTTTTTGTTTGATCAAAAACCATACACAGACTCCGCGTGAAAAAAATTCAAGATGGCGTCATAAAAAAAACAAACACTGACGTATAGAATATTCTCCTCCGGAATGGTATTCGATCGGCTACAAATTTTCATCAGGGACTTCTCGGTCTTGGGGGGTAAATCATAGATTTGATTGAGGCTGGTATTAAAAGTCACTGATTTCCTAGCCTGTGTGAAAGAATGGGTGGACTTAACGCCCTACTGTGGATCTTTTTGCGACTCTCTACCAAGCTGTAAATGAAGTGTATCCAAAATATATTACAAGCAATGCTTGGTTATTTGGGTGGAACATCTGTACAAAATCAATGCCCTGTTGCCATGTATCAAAATTGAAGCAACGATACACAAGTGTGTCTTCCGGAATTTAACATGTACCCGGAGTGGTTTCTACATCACATAATCAATATTTATAGGAGGCGGGGCTATATCGGCGTCATTGTTGACATCTCTCTTTTATCCCTCTCTCTCTCTCCAAAAATTAATCGTTTTAGCTTTGCTATGTCAATATGAAATTATATAAAAAGTGTGATGACACGCAAAATTTAAAAAAAAATTTAATTTGCTTAATTTGAAAACAGCAACCCACACGCTCAAAGACATGATTTACAACGAGGTCAGGTGAAGAATACAATGTAATTGTTTTCACGAGTACACTGGCAGGTGGACATCACGTGATGAATTGTAATATTTAACAGGTCAATCTAAGACATAACAATAGAAGCGAGAAGTGTTTTCGAACATGTTTGTTGTTAAATTAAGTGTGAGTACACGTTTGTCGGCTCTTCTCCTTTTGTTTAAATTTTTTTTCAATATACAACTACTTTTTCTTAAAAACAGCCGACAAACATTTGACTATGTTTTAGACGATGAAAAACGCGTGACCCTGATTATCTATTGATATTCAACAAATCTTCAGGCACCATGCCTTCGATTTTTATTAATTTACCCAGATTATCTAAAAAAAAAATCCGTTTTTTTGAAAGCTGCAGTAAAAAACCAAGAACAAGTAGCGGCGATCACTCCCTCAATCAAGACGATATCAATCAGAACATCACGATATTACTTATGATCTTAATAAAATTCGGGACATCTACTGAGATCAAAAATCTATGGTTAAGAAATCGGATGTAAAACTTATAGTTTCAGAAATTTTGCTCGAAATGAAAAATGAACTGAAAGGTGAAATAAAAAAGGAAATAATTTCAGAAATGAAAGATTTCGAAAAGGGTATTAAAAACAAAGTTAAAAAAGATTGAGGAGAAAATAGAGAAACATTAAAGAATTCCAAACACAAACGAAAGAGATTTCGGATGGATTTAATTTTGATTTTGACACTCTTGAGAAAAACTAAGTGTACAGGCAAGGGAATTGAGGGACTTGAAGAAACAACTTCAGACATGTAATTATTGCAGGGTCTGCAATCCCCCTGCTAATCAAAACCAGCAGTATTCCCAAAAATCTAACATAAAATTTATGAATTGGGCAGGGGAAAAAATGAAAATCTTAAACAAAGGCTATGTGCGACACTCAAGGAAGCGGTGAACGTTGACCTTGACCCCGCAGATGTCCTGGCGATCCATCGGATTCCCGGGGGAGATGGAGAGCCACGACATGTGATCGCAAAATTTCGAAACACCGACATCAAGATCATGGTAATCAAAACAGAGCTGACAAAATTTTT